TATCAATGACTATTAACTGACAGCACAATTAGTCCCTGCATTGTTTAAAAGCAGCATAATGTTCAGTGTGGCATCTTAGAAAATCCACTGGAAATAATTAAAATGATGAACAGATAAATTGTAATGTACATCTGCACTTATGTATTGGTGTTTAGTGAATAGTTCAAAACAACTTTTTCATTAACTTTTTGCATGCAGAAGGTATAAATTTATCTAGGCTTGCATGTACAGTAATATTTTTAGGAAGGGCTCATTAAACACTATACATCCCGACGTAACAAGACACATTAAAACACAAATTTATCTCGTTATACACATACATTTTATGTATATCTTTTTACAAGTATTTTGCACCTACAGTGCTGTGAAAAAGTATTTGCCCCCTTCCTGATTTCTTATTTTCTTGCATATTTGTCACACAAATGTTTCAGATCAGCAAATAAATTTTAATATTAGACAAAGACAACCTGTGTAAATACAAAATGCAGTTTTTAAATGATGATTTAATTTATTAAGGGGAAAAAGCTATCCAAACCTACCTGGCCTGGTGTGAAAAAGTAATTGTCCCCTAAACCTAATAACTGGTTGTGCCACCCTCTGTGACAGCAACTGCAATGAAGTGTTTGCAATAACCGGCAATGAGTCTCTCACATCGCTGTGGAGGAATTGTGGCTCACTCTTCTAACAGAATGTTTTAATTCAGCCACGTTGGAAGGTTTTTGATCATGAACGACCTGTTTAAGGTCATGCCACAGCATCACAATTGGGTTTAAGTCCAGACTTTGCCTAGGCCACTCAAAAACCTTCAGTCTGTTTTTTTTAAGCCATTAAGAGGTGGACTTGCTAGTGTGTTTCAGATCATTGTCCTGCTGTTTAGCCCAAGTGTGCTTGAGCTTGAGGTCACCAACTGATGGTTGGACATTCTCCTTCAGGATTCTCTGGTAGAGAGCTGAATTCATAGTTACATCAATTACGACAAGTCATCCAGGTCCTGAAGCAGCAAAGCAGCCCCAGACCATCACACTACCACCACCATGTTTGACTTTTGGTATGATATTCTTTTTATGAAATGATATGTTAGTTTTACGCCTGATGTAACAGGATGCACACCTTCCAAAAAGTTCAACTTTTGTCTCGTCAGTCCACAGAATATTGTCCCAAAAGTCTTGGGGATCATCAAGATGTATTTTGGCAAATGTGAGACGAGCCCTTGTGTTCTTTTTTTTTCAGCAGTAGTTTTCACCTTGGAACCCTCCCATGGATGCCATTTTTGCCCAGTCTCTTTCTTATTGTTGAATCATGAATACTGACTTTAAATGAGGCAAGTGAGGCCTGCAGTTCTTCAGATGTTGTTCTGGGTTCTTTTGTGACCCCCTGGTCGTCAATGAGCTTTTCATGATTTAACAAGGGGGGCACTTATTTTTTCACATAGGGCCAGATAGGTTTGGATAGCCTTTTCCCCTTAATAAATGAAATCATCATTTCAAAACTGCATTTTGTATTTACTCGGGTTATTTATTTTATATTAAAATTTGTTTGATGATCTGAAACATTTAAGTGTGAAAAATGTAAGAAAAAAAGTAAGAAATCAGGAAGGGGGCAAATACTTCTTCACAGCACAGTATGTACTGAAAATACTTCATGAAAAAGAAATCTTGAAAAACTCAGAAACATGAATAGCATGTGAAGCAGTTTGTGCCCTCTTCGCCATGTTGTTCTTGTATATAATCTCGACCATGGTTTGCTGTGCTGCGTGGGGATGCTCCAGTCGCTGGGAGGTTGAATACAAATGTATGGTTTCTCCAATGACGTGAAGAAGAGAAAAAATAATAATAAATTGTTGGCTCAATTCAGCAGGAGAAATCGAACAAACATTATAAATTACAACAATAAAAATGTGAGGTGATCGCATTCAAACACTGCACTTGCACTTTTTTCACAACCAAAGACCACACGATTTTGAAGCGTATTGTCCAGTTTATTAAAAGTAAAGAACAGGGAAAGGCTTGCACAGCTTAGGGAGTTAAGACTCAGGGTGTAGGGTGAGTGTCCTGCCTCATTGCAGGGAGGCTTTTATTGAATCGCCTGCAGCTCTTCAGCTGAAAGGGGGGGGGGGTAGAGAAAGACTGGAGAAAGGGTTACACACATCTATCTAGGCTTGGATGGGAAATTGTGCTGAGAGATGAGGTGTGGTCTTTGTTTCCCTACTTATGTTATGGAACTCAAGTAGCTGTGATCAACAGCTTTTGCTGCTGATGTTTAAGTATGGCAAATGGCATCAGTTACAGATGTGACAGGAATTACAGGAAGTTGGATCATGTTCTTTGCAGTCTTTCAGACAAATACAGTACAGCTCAATATTTTTAGTATTCAGTAAGATTCCCCACTTAGGCCAAACATTTTGGAAAATTAAGCATAGAAGGCTATTTGGCCAATACGTTATTTTCAATCTTCTATTTGGTCCTCCAGCCTCCCTCTCCCTTAATCATCAATCCAAAATTAGCTGGGCAGCAACATAATATTGACAGGTAATGTCAAAAGAATCACAAATCCTAAAACACTCAAACAAGAGATCACGTCTAAGTTTACTGAATAGAAGTTAAAAAAAGAAAAAAGCTCCCACAATCAATATTAATAGCGATGTATCACAGCAAACGATGGCTCTTCTTTATTATTCTGTAAGGTTAACTTTATTACACCAGCTAACGTGAGCTACCTTGTTCTCAAAGAAAATCTCACTTCACCACATCCACTGCTATAACGAGTCTGATGGTATATTTACGTTACTTCTCCAACATTTCACTCCCCCCACCCCTCCGCAAAAAAAAAAAAAAAAAAAAAAACGTTTAAGAAGCATTTTTCCCCTCTAATTTCACGTCTTTGGATAAATGGCACTGACATGACTGAGTTTACAAGTATACAGCTGCTCATGGTTAGCGGTAGTAACTGTCGCTAACTGTACCTAGCTAGTATCGTAGCCCAATTTGTTGTCCGTAAACATTAAATATCTCTAGAATCGTGCAGGAAATAATCCAGTAAAACGCTTTACTGTACACGTTATTTAATTCAGATGTGCTGACAATATTCAGTCTAATTCTTTAAACGTCTTACTTTTTGGAAGATCATCACGTACGGTCAATTCCGCTTCAGCTCAGCTGCTGAGATTTCAGTCAACTCTCGCACAGCGTACTTGAACTACTCCGGATCTAGCTTCACCCCTCGCTCCACCCCCTCCGCCCAGCCATGCCTCTATCTTCCGGCCAAGTCAAAATATTGAAATTTTCTCGCGAGAGCAATATTGGCTTGATAAAAAGAGCAAAATAAATATAAATGTTGCGTAATTTTTGCAAATTACCACAAAACATTATGTTTTAGACCCAAATCACTAATTTTAACGGGTGTAAATACCAGGTAATGGATCCTTTAATGCACGGAATGCAATTGTGGACGGACGGACGGACGCCGTGCGTGATGACAATACCCTACAGCCCGAATTATGCAGGCTGAGGGGTAATAAAAATGGAAAAACTATATCAGAACATTGAGGGGATAACTTTTAAGTTAAAGGGACATTGTGTAACATTTTCAGTAGTTTATTGGCCAATATCTAATACTTATGTCATCATTGGTGTATTATGACCGCCGCTAATAATCTGACATATTCTTGTAAACGAAGAATTTTAGATTTGTTTGTACATTGGATGGGTAAGCCGGCAGGGAAGCGCCATGACGGTCTGCCATCTTGAAACTACAGCCGCCGGCAAGGGTCCAATAGCACCAAATGCTGATTTATTCCGCGTTTGCCCTGCCAGTGAGCGCTGAGTGATTGAGACACGGGAGGGGATCAGCAAGAGAGGCTACTGCGGCAAGTTTGAAAATCTGCACTACTGCAGCATAATGCAGGACCATGCATATGCAGCAGCAGCACAGGAGACGGAATCCTCATCGCCAAGAAAGTGAAAAGGAGAACTAAAAAGGCAGCGCGACCGGCGCATTGAAAAAACGAGGGTCAACATTGGGCTTGCCTTCCCCAGGTGGAAGGAGCTAATGAAAGCGTAAGATTTTCAAAGGGACGCTGAAGTTGCCAGCTTTCTGATCGACAAGTAAGTCAACTTCAAATTCAGGCTACGAACACCAAGGGGACCTTGTCTCTAAGCGCGTTCTCATAAGCAGCGCAGCAGCTGCGGTTCTTTGCTTGTAGCACTGGTCAGGAGATTCCGTGCTGTCGGCTTACGTTATTACCAAATCGGTGAAGTGAGCAGGTGTGACGACACCAATGTTTTCAGTTATTGTATTTGATGGATGGCTTTGTTATGCAGTGACTCGACTGCTTCACCTGTCTTTTATGTAGCGTTACAGAATGAACCGTAACTTAGCAAAGGCTGTTGTTGGTTAACTTAGTGTGACAGTTGATGGGTCCTGTCACGAGAATGCCTCCTAATAAGTGTGCGCCCTGGCTACCTTGCCAACGAGCCTGGCTCTTTGGCGATGTGGTCAGCGCGTCAGACTATTACCCGGGAGTCTGGAGGCTCAAGTCCCCGCCCGGGCCCTCCCTCGGCCTGCCACATTCTGGCATAATTGGCAGGATCTGGGGGATCCTAATGGATGGCAGCATGCGTAAAGCATGGAGCGTGAGGACACGCTCTCGAAAGAGGGGGAGAGATGTGACAGTTGATGGGCCCTGTCACGAGAATGCCTCCTAATAAGTGTGCGCCCTGGCTACCTTGCCAACGAGCCTGGCTCTTTGGCGATGTGGTCAGCGCGTCAGGCTATTACCCGGGAGTCTGTAGGCTCAAGTCCCCGCCCGGGCCCTCCCTCGGCCCGCCACATTCTGGCATAATCGGCAGGATCTGGGGGATCCTAATGGATGGCAGCATGCGTAAAGCATGGAGCGTGAGGACACGCTCTCGAAAGAGGGGGAGAGATGTGACAGTTGATGGGCCCTGTCACGAGAATGCCTCCTAATATGTGTGCGCCCTGGCTCCCTTGCCAACGCGCCTGGCTCTTTGGCGATGTGGTCAGCGCGTCAGACTATTACCCGGGAGTTTGGAGGTTCAAATCCCCGCCTGGGCCCTCCTTCGGCCTGCCACATTAGGTTGGATAAGGGGCGTGTATTTGGTAACTACTGAAGGTGACATCCTAGAAGCGTGCATATAGCTAACACATGCTTTGCTTTTTCGTATTAAATTGCTCAAGATGCATCTAAGCTGAGTTGTTTATTTCCATTACTTTGAATACCTTACATCGATTCACGGTACTGTGTTTTGCTGCTTCATGTATTATATGCTGGCTAAGTAGCACTGACTACATCCACTTTCAGCATGGTATAAATTCAGCCCAAAAAACTTCACAGCTAATCATTTATTTACTATTGCATGCTCATTCTTAATTATTAAAACAATAGCTGATGTGCATACTTGATGTCGTGACTTTTCAGTAACTTTTAAGATGACAGAAACTTCATATTTTGTATTTTATTTTATGCATGCGCCGAACTTGCATGACAGCACCGCACAGAGACAGTATTTGTTGTTCAGCCTTTATTAGCTAGAAGTGTTGAGTGGGTTGGGAAGGCTGGATAGGATGAGATGTGAACGACACACTGTTCGTGAGGGGCATCAGTGTATGGGAGTGATGCAGCGGAGATTCGCTAATGCGGCTGAACTCCATCTGTGCAGAGAAAACATGAGGGCTCCAGAAGAAACCGATGAGAACGAAACTAAGAGCGACTTTATGTGTATTTTATAACTGGGCTGCTGATCATGTGCGGACGTAGGAATTTGCTAATCCTGAATAAGGGGAAGGAAAATAATTCAGAATTGAAACTCCACTAATATAGAATGAAATCAGCACTTTTCCGGCTTACCTTGATGTTTGAGTATCCAGAGGAACATCGGGGTAGTTAAAACCTCAAGCGTGAATTTAGTCAAGAAAATTTAGAGTTTATTTTCTAGTGCTGATAAACGTGTAATAAATGGCAGTAGCTATGTTACGGATGACGCACCGGGTTGCGAGAGTATGCGCAGCATATACATTCGCAATATTAAAATTAAATTCTAATGAATGGTGTGTGCACCCTGCGAGTCAGCTGGGATGGGCTCCAGTTCAGGTATAGAGAAAGGATGTAATTAATGAGCTTTGAGCATTCGTACACTAAAAGTAATTTCGCTCGTCAGAATTTATTTCCCTGTTAGGTATATAAATAGTTTTTCCAAACTATATTTAAGCCGAGTGCTATGTTTGCCCGTTCGGTGCGGAGCTGTTGCATGGGTTTTGCAGTGGACATAGCTACATTTCCGGAGAACATTGATACACGGTGGCTACCATAGTTGCAATACGTGTTTGAAAAAGTGAGGCGCTCGAGTGCACTATTCGTTTGAATGTAATACATGATTTCAACGCTGGATGGGAGTAATTCCTACACAATGTCCCTTTAAAAGCTAAAACTGAGCCTGGATCTTCTTCCAAAGACACCTTACCCTAAAAAGTACCGCAATTTTTCACTTATGGACAAGTAAATGAAAATCATGTAAATCAAAAAATGTGAAAACAATCTTCATGTAAATCAAAAAATATGAAAATCATCTGGTCAATGCCAGTATTATTTTTTAGAAATATACGCATATTGCTGAATGGAGGGGGGTTGATTACTTGCAAAATATAAACTGGAACTGATAAACTTCATGATAAAATCAAACTCTTTTTTTCTGCTGTCTAAAAAAAAAATGCAAGTTAAACTGATTTTGCAAAATATCACCAGCCAAGCATCATTTAGACTAAATTGGGTTTTTTGTATGATGGTCTTCCTCTATAGCTACAATGCAAGTACTGTATGTTCTATGTGTGTGTGTGTGTGTGTGTATGCACCTGTGTGTATAGGTATGTGTGACTGCATCTTCTGTGAGTGATCATGTGTGTGTTTGTGTGTGTGCCTGCTTGTGTGATTGTATGCCTGTGGGCGCTCAATATTTGATTAGGATAATAGACTGGTCACATGACGAGCGACAGTAATCGCTAAAAGGGCAGAGGTCAGCTAAAGCAGTGCGGAGCCAGCTGCTCATCAGATAGGATCTGAAAACAGAAGATAATAAAACATTAATATTTAGATAGCCGTTAATCATGCAATTCACAGTCTTGTAATAAGATACAACATTTTTAAGCAAGAAAATAGCTACATCTTGTCAGGACAATTTCAAAAGAACATTCTAATTGTTTTATGGTTTGTTAGCTCTTATTATTTAACCATTTAGTATGTGTAAATGAAATCAATCTTGGTTAGCTGTTTTCCTTTCAGCACTGTAGTATATAAAGCAGTTCTTTTAAATAAATATATATTTAATTCAAAATCACTGTCAAATAATTTTCACATAGATTCCATGATGTTAACCCTATTCAGGACCTTCGAAAAAAACCTACATTAATGGTCTTTTGGGGTCCAATGGACCCAAAGGTAACTTTCATTATTTTAGCTTAAAGTAAACATTTCATACAGCTTAAAGTACCTGCTTATTTTCAGAGGAGAGCATATTACTGCATAATATACAGAGTTTAACTGTACATTAGCTAAAATCTACTATCAGATTTCTAATGCCACATATAGTGGTCAACTAAAAATTCAACAAAATGGCATTATAGCCAGAAATGACAATTTCTTTGAAAATTTGCAGCTGAACTACTAAGAACTACTGCATAGCATGCTAATAAATGTCGCTCTACTACTGCCCTCCATAATATCTTAATTTCTCAGCAGCAAATATGATAGAATATCTCTGAGGTCCACTGGACCTCGCAAGTTCTACGTTACAACAGCTTCCTGTTGATCCTGCTGCTGTAACAATATTCTAGCCAGGAAGTATCCAGAACTTTTCAAGAGGATAAAAATGGCACAGTGCCTTCTGCTTTGCTTAGAAGAATGTGATATCATTTGCACCACTCTGAGTATTATTGTCAGTTACTAAAAGTGCATGCCCCAGCAATGCCATTCTTTTCTGTATTTTGTGTGACTGCGAGGTAACATTCAGGAACCAGAAGCGAGACCAAAAATATCCAGTAAACTTGTTCTTTATTGGATCTGGGGTGGAAACCCCTGCAGGGCAGTAAACAACGGTACAGAGCCCACAATCCAAAATCAGAATCCAGTAGACGTAATCCAATTCGTAAACAGGGCAGCAAACACAAAACTCTGGGTCGGGCAAAGCAGGTTCGGTACATGGGCACAGGAATATCAAAGACAAAGCCAAAATCCATGAAGTTCCAGTCAGAAGTATAACACGAAGAGTACAAGGCATAAACGATCACAGCACAAGGAAAACGTTCTGACAGAGCTGATGGTGAAATGACTACTTAAATACACATACGGGAAGCCACATGCTATAATAGGGAACAGGTGAGCTGGATCAGACTAATTAACAAAGGAATGAACAAGAGGAAGTTCCTCACCACATGAAATTGGCGAAAGCCAAAACGCGGACAGGGATTACACAGACAGCCTATGACAAACAGACGACTCCGGTTAGGGAGTTCTAAAGTGCACAGATTGAGAGGCAGAACAGTGTTTAACAAGGTGCGGAGAATCCGCTGAAGCGCAGCAAAGAAAATTGAGTGAAGGAAAGGGGCGGAGACTGGAGCAGAGCGAGTGCTAAGAGCTCGTTAGTCAAATTAGTAATGTGTAGCAATCCCTAGTGCTTGTTAGTAAGTTAGTACTATAAACAATGTTAGTTAATGTTAGTAATTTATCTAAAATAATTAACTGTTAGTATTTATTAGTAAAGATAGAACAGAAAGGCGAAGGAAGCAAACGAGATTGGAAGGAATGTTTGGAAACCCAGAAACCATGAAATCACCTGAAAGCGTGGCACACAATACTGGGGAATAAAACTATTACATCACGTATGAGCAGACAGGGGAGACAATGTGCAATGCAGGGCATGAGAAATACAAAAACCAAAATGATAATCTAAACTGTGAATATGGGAAATGGCAGGCAAAGGACATAACAAAGAAAGACAGGCAAAATACAAAACATGGCATGGACTGAATCAGAAAACATGGCTTGGAATCAGAGTTATAACGAAAACATGGTCAGGCACAACAGAATCATAACAGTGACTAAACCATGGAGGATTACATGAAATCTCGGACACATGTCATTTAAAATGAAAAAGATAATAATAAATGAAAGTGCTTGGGGTCCATTGGACCCCAAAAGTCCTGAATAGGTTTAATTGCTCCTAAGTGATGTGCGCGATGCCATCATAAACATGTTGTCTTTGGATCTTTTTCTGGGGAGATTTAGTTGAATCGGATTGATTTTAGTGTAACACAAGGACATTCTCTTGTAATTACCGATGTGCTAATGTGATTATCCAATCTTGCAGTTAAGCCGTTGCATTTCAGACTAAAATTGAATTTTTTTGAGTCTGATTCATGGCTAAATATTTTTTATTATAATTCACTCCACAATTATAATAGAGCCTGTAAAAAGATAACATGATTTAAACCTTGTGTTGGTGTTATTGAAAGGGAGTACATTTAGCACATTGGCCTCAAGAAGTGAACACTCACTGCTCTCCAAAGCTGTTCAGGGTGTTCTGGCACCTTCAAGCATACTGATCCTCATCTTGCTCCTCCTTGGATGCACTCTGGACAACTTCCTGAATTTCCCTAATCTTCTCCTTAGATTCTGCAGGTAGCACAGCTTTCAGCCCACTCTCAATCTTCTCCAGTCTTTCTTTGGTCTTCCTCTCAAAGGTTTCCTTATTTCTCTTCACTAGACTTCTGATCCCTTCCTCAGCATCATTACAGGAATTTTGCATTTCCAATCGCTTAGTTTGGAACTCAGGGTCGGTGACATCCATAGACATGAGCGTGCTCAGCTTGCTGACACTTTCCATCAGGTACTTGTTAGAAACCTCTGTGTAGGTCCCTGAGATCATGTTCACCAGGCTGGAAACGTTGGATGCTTGGAAAGCCTGGTTGTAGATCATGTCTTTCATGAACATTCTTGATGAGTATTTCAATGCTTGGTTTGTTGTTTTCTCCAAATTTCTCACAAAATCGTCCAGGGATGTTTTC